CGTAGAGTACAGGTAATCCTTGAGCCTTACGATCACAATTGAACACCCCAGATTTCTGTATCTTAAGTAAGACGTTTGCTAAGTGAGTTTTGCCTCGTTTTACAACCTTTTTTGGCACAATTGTTAAGGGAATCACTGCAGTTGGTAAGATAGCAACCCGATCGTAAACCGCTTAGAGTAGGCCCGTGATGGCCAACCCATGGCACGCATGCCGGAGGAGATACGCAGAGCCCTCTCTGTGGGCACGTGCACCGTCGCCAGCTACGATTCTGGTTTCCGGTGCAACCTCTGGTTTCGGTGCGCCTTTCCAGCTGGTCTTTGCGGGTGCAGGAGCCCTGGGAAACGGCCTAAAAACAGCTCTAAAATTGGCCTGAAAGTTGCCCAAAAACCAGCTGAAAGTAGCCCCCCAAAAAAACGGCCTGGAAAAGGCAAAAAACGGCAAAAAACCAGGCATGTATGCACTGTCCAGTTGGTCTTTGGGTTTCCAGTGCTCCGCCGTGCTCACATGCATATCCATACACGCACCTTCCAGTTTAGGCACTCGGTGCCAAAAAGGTTCCCCATCACTGGAGTAAGCTGTAAAGCACTGTGAAGCAGTATATAAGTCTAAGTACTATTGCAATTTCTCTCCCTCCCTCCCTCTCCCTCTCTCTCTCTCTCTCTCAGGATTAGTTCCATTGACATTAAGTACAAGATTTGGAAACTTGGCGTCATCTTCACGGATAACGTAAGTCAGAAGATGTAGCCTCAGGGCAGAGAAATTCACTACTAAAATAGATATTCTGACACTCCTTTCACCCTGGAGAAATTCTGTCCCCGTGGTTCCTAAGGGTCGACGCCAACTCCACCACGCATCAGCAGATATCGGGGTACATGCAACTAGTCTTGGGCCTTACGACCACAATCAAGCCCAAAATTTCTGTGGCTAAGCGAGACGGTTAAGTGAGTTTGACCCCATTTTACCACCTTTCTGGCCACAGTGGTTAAATGGATCACTGCGTCAACTAAGCTAGCAACGCCGTTGTTCAGTCTTTGCTGGTCAGAAGGTCGCAAAAGGGGGATCACGTGACACCCCCCCCCCAGATACTACAAATAAATACACTCCAGTTGCCAACCATCTGAATTTTGAACCCGTGGCCATAAGGATGCTGCAATGATCATAAGTGAAAAATGGCCACAAGTCACTTATTTCAGTGCTGTTGTAACTCGGAACAGTCACTAAATGAACTGTCATAAGTTGAGGACAATCTGGAGAGGCTTTTCACCAGAGGGCAAAGAGGCAGCGGAGTTTGGGATGTCTGGGAAGGGAGGAAGAGGGCTAAGACAGTCCCTCCTTAGCGGTTCACAGATTACATCTAAAGTAATGCAGATAGCTTCTTTAGTCTGGCAAGATTCTGTCTGCAAGCGAAGGAACAATAAAGAAACTAGGAAGCAACTTCGCTTTCCGTTCTTGGGTCTTGACTTCATTGTGGTTAGACTAAAGTTTAATGCCAGAAGGTATTTGTGATACCTTCCTCTTCCTACTATCAAGACCTCAAGGACATGGTTCATCTGTTCTCCATTCAGTTTATTCTTCTTCCTCTCCCTCCCACTGCAGTCCTTCCTTTATCTCTTCTGGTACATGGTGATGTCCGTGCTTGGCCATTACAACAACTTCTTCTTCGCTTGCCATCTTCTGGACATTGCCATGGGCGTCAAGACCTTAAGGACCATCCTGTCCTCTGTCACCCACAATGGCAAACAGGTCAGTTGGGATATGAGGGAGAGGAACCCTCTGCTCCATAGGCACCAGAGAAAGCTGTTCTTCCCTGCTACGCAACTCACCATCTCCTGGAACCTGTGTCCTCTTTTCCCCAGCTGATGATGACCGTGGGGTTGCTGGCGGTGGTTGTCTACCTTTACACCGTGGTGGCCTTCAACTTCTTCCGCAAGTTCTACAACAAGAGCGAGGACGAGGACGAACCAGACATGAAGTGTGACGATATGATGACGGTGAGAGGCTACGAGACATCCTAGGCCGATGTTCTCCTGGACATCTGGAGTCATCGGGGTTGGGAAGGCTGACTTCTACTACCCTGTATTCCTGAGCCTGGATATGCTTTCTACTCTCTTCCCAACAGTGTTACCTCTTCCATATGTATGTCGGAGTGAGAGCCGGTGGCGGCATCGGGGATGAGATTGAAGACCCAGCTGGAGACGAATATGAGCTCTACCGCGTGATCTTTGATATCACCTTCTTCTTCTTTGTCATTGTCATCTTGTTGGCTATCATCCAAGGTGAGATGGGTGGGCCTGCGCCCCTTCACGAGTCTCTGCTGTATCACTGTCTCTCTTGTCTACTTCCTTAATTTTAACCCGTTGTGGCCCGTCAGCAACCGAATCAGAGGAAGAGAAGGCAGCGTGGGAGTCAGGGTCAGCATCAGGGCAACCTGAGAGCTCCAAGGAGGGGGGGGGGAAGAGGGAATGGAGTGGCAGAGAGAGAGAAGGGTGGGAGTCTGGGCCGTCCATCAGACCTCAGATGGAGAGTCAACTGCCCCCAGGTCTGGAGGTGGCTGATGAGGAAGAGGAGGAACAGCTGGGTCCAGTGCCTGACGCACTGATGGTCTCCGGATACGCTTCAAGGCACTAGTCGTTACTTATAAAGCCCTTCATGGTATTGGACCTGGGTACTTGAGAGNTAACGCCTTGGGAAGGCCACACTTGGAATACGGCATCCAGTATGGAATAAAATGTACAAGTGGCTAGAAATCAGAAGCCAAAACAGAAAATAGAGAATACAAATATATGGTAATAGTATTAGTATTATGTTTGCTACATTGTAGGACAAGGTTAAAGTAATAGGAAGGCAATGCGGAAGGGAGAATTATAAAAGCTAAGTAGGAAATCTAATATAGAAAGCTGTAAAATTACTGTATATTGTTATGCATGTTCTGTGTTTTGTTGTTGTTTTTCTGTTTTTTTCTTCTTGTGTCTTCTTTACTGTTTTTAAAGAGTAAAACATTCAATAAAAATTATATTAAAAATAATAATCTAGATCACGTTAAATCTTGAGTTAAAGGACTCTCTGCTAGGAAGTTAGTTTCACATTCATCAATGCTTCTTCTTTCTCTCTCTTCTAAGGAACGTGGACGCAAAAAGTTTTTAGCTTTGTGCATGACGATGAAAGAAGTGGGGACAGCATGATTATTTTCCATAGAAAAGAGGGAGGGGAAACTTGCCTTCAAGCGCTTTGAAATAAAAATTAAGGCAAAGGTAAAGGTTCCCCTTGCACATATCTACTAGTTGTTCCTGACTCTAGGGGGCAGTGCTCATCTCCGTTTCAAAGCCGAAAAGCCAGCGTTGTCCAAAGACATCATCATGGCCATGTGGCTGGCATGACTAAATGCCGAAGGTGCACGGAACGCTGTTACCTTCCCACCAAAGGTGGTTCCTATTTTTCTACTTGCATTTTTACCTGCTTTCGAACTGCTAGGTTGGCAGAATCTGGGACAAGTAACGGGAGCTCACTCCGTTACGCGGTGCTAGGGATTCGAACTGCCAAACTTCTGATCTTTCTGATCAACAAGTCCAGCATCTTAGCCCCTGAGCCACCACGTTCTTGTCATGGTCTTATCATACATGAAATAAAGTTCCAAGCCTTTTCTTGAGTTATAAAGGACTCCCTGCTAGGAGGTTAGTTTCACATTCATCAATGCTTCTCCTTTCTCTCTCTTGTAAGCAGAGTGAAAGCAAAAAAATAAATAAATAGTGTTTTGCATGAAGATGAAGGAAGAGGAGACAGGATGATTATTTTCCAGAGAAAAGACAGAAAAAAACCCCTTGCCTTCAGGTGCCTTGAAATAAACATGATTTATTCCTAATTTTGGAAGCAGAGGTAACTCTGGACTTCTAAGTTTAACTCCGGTTCTGTAATTTACATGTTGCAACATATTTGGTGATGCCAAATAGACAAATTTTAAAAAGCCATATGATCACCGGAAGGAGAATAATGGAAGCCGACATTTCATCCCTCCCCATCCATTGCATTTTTTTTCTAATATACTTGTCATTTACTCTGTCCGTAATAGTTATTTCTTTTCTCCTCCTGCGTCTCTGCTTAATTTCTTTCATATTTAACAGTAACTGATAGAGCGCTTGGAAACAGGAGCATGTTGTTACCTTTGTTGAAAAGTAGCATATCCAATCTGGATGCTGTATAAATAGTAAATAATAACGATAATTTTGATTTATTATTTGGCTGAGGTTCAGCAAGGAGCTGCTTATTACGGTCCTTCCTTGCTTGTTTTTTCCCCCCCAGCCTTAACAAAGAACCACTGTATTCATAAATACGTTAGTCATGTAATTATATATCAGAGCACGCTAAGACAACTTTTGGAATTGACAAAGAAACCTTTAAAAGAGTTGAACTGGAAACAGATTTTGAAGTATCAGTGGAGGGTCTACTAAAATAGCCGGGAAAAGTGATGCTTGAATGGGAAACCTTCTCTGCCTTTGAACTTTGAAGTGAAATATGGATGTTCCCCCCTCCCCCAAGTAATATGCTGGAACATTAGGTCCATTTGTAGGGCTGAGCCAAAATTACAATCTGGACATTGAATTCAAAGGCAACTCAACTGAATCTCCAAATGGAATCACGTTTCTGACTGCATTGTCCATTTCAAGCAAATTGTTGGTTCGAAGCAAGGGTTCCCAAGGTGAACCAACCTTTGTCTGAAAGGGCGGATTAATATTTTCCAAATTTTGTTCGTGTTTATACCCATGTAGGAATTTCATCCTTCAGAAAGTCAGGACTGTTTTAAATGGATGGATGGATGAATGAATAGATGGATAAGGATAGATAGATAGATAGATAGATAGATAGATAGATAGATAGATAGATGATAGATAGGATAGATA